CTTTTTCTTTTTATGTAAAGGGTTCTTGGTGCATAGTCATGTAAGTATACCTGTAGACTCCAACCTGTTTGTCTTAAAACTAACTTATTTTGGTGATTTTCTTTTCTTAGCTGTGGAAAATTAAGTCATAAGCTGAGTCATGTGGCTGGACTCTCTCCACTTGCTGACATCAGTACTTACCCACTAAGGAAAGCGGTGACTGCAGAAACCATGAGATACCACCTGCTTGTTCACATGCAGAGGGGCCCTCAGCTCCGCCTCATCAAATGAATGGTGTTTTCAGAGGAACAAATCCTTTTACAACTGGGCGTCCATGCTAAAAACCTGTATTTTCATGGTTTTCAAGCAATATGAATAGTTAGGGGACTAAAGACTGTGTGTTATGGTAACATAAGGACAACTTTCTAAGTTAGGAAATTTATTCTGGGCATTTCAGTGCTGTGACAGTTATATTTACTAGAAATAGTTTTTTGGGTAACTATGGTAGATGTCCAAAGCATGAAGCAAATATCCTTTATTGGAAACATGCAAATTCAGTACTTTTCTATTACAGTCTATAGAATTGGAGATTTCATTTCTCTAGCAAAGAGAGATCAAATTTAAACTATTTTAGATTGAACCCAAATAAAAGAACTTTGAGAATTTCAGTTTCTAGGCTTTTTTTGTTGTTGTTGAAGGAAAAAAAATAACCTTTTAAACTGTGAGTTTCTGTTAAACTATGGGGAAATTTTTAATCAGTTTATAATTTTGAAGTTAATCCTAATAACTGTATAGTTGTTGGTGAAAGAGTCATGCATATAGTATGCCATGTAATTCAGCATGAGAAATTTAAGTACATGCATACTCAATCCATGTCCATCATACAACGTGGTTTCTGTATAAATCATCTGAGCTGTGTTTCCTCTCACAGTACGAAGTGAAGCATTAATAGTTTATATGTTGTGAAACTTAATGTATCCAACCCTCAGTACAATTTGAGGTCCTCCCTGTCCAGCCACGCTATGCCTTTGATGATTTGGATTCTTTTACCAGCATCTCCTATTACACACACCTGCATATATGTATGTTAATATAAACTCTAATCATCTACATATAATTTTTGCTCATTAAATTACCTGCTTTTAAGAATCTCTTGAGGCAAATTGAAAGCCCAAACATTTTAATAAGATTTTGTGAATTTTTAAATGGAAATAATTTAGAAACTTAATTATTACATGTAAAGTATGTACTCATGCAAAATCAGTGTTAGTTACACATATCCTAATATGCAGGAAGATTTTGAGGTTTAAGGATGAATTTCTGAAGAGTCTAGGGATTGAGGTCAGAGCTTTCTGGGTTCATATCCTTGGCTCTGCCACTTACTAGCTTTATAATCTAAGGCAAGTTACTTAACCTCTTCACATCTTGATTTCCTTACCTGTTAAATGGGGATAATAACTACCTAATAGAGTTGTTAAGGTTAAATGAGATTATCATGTAAAGTACTTAGCATTTAGTAAATCTAGAGTAAACATTTATTGTTACTATTTAAAACTCTGTAAAAATTTTTCACTGGTAGATTCCTAACTGTGAAGACAGAAACAGAGGAAGCAAGGTTGCTGAACTAGAAGCGGATTACCAAAAATTTGCAGCCATTCTAAATGCTGCATGAGAGTTATAATTATTTTTGAAGGTAAAACCCAATTATAGCAACTAGAAGGATGTGCAGCTATGACATACAACTATCTACTGGGGCTTTGGGGAAGAAAAAAAGGAGGAAGATTGGCAATAGATGTTAGCTCAGAGCCGGTCTTCCACAGCAAAAAGAGGAGGATTAGCGCAGATGTTAGCTCAGGGCTGATCTCCCTCACAAAAAAAAAAAAAAAACCAATTATAGTGATTTACCTTTAGAAGGAACTGTTCTGTAAAGGCACTTTAGTCTCAACAGATGGCTCATAGAAACCATGCTTTTACTATTTTCTATAAGAAACAATAGCAACTGTCTCAGAGCCACGACTGAGCACAGTGCAGTTTTTTCAGATGAAGAAAGCTGATGCCTTTATCTTTTTTTCTATGAAGAAATGCTATTTATTTTATTTTATTTTTTATTTATTTATTTATTTATTTATTTATTTATTTATTTATTTATTTATTTATTTATCTATCTATCCCCCCCAAGCCCCAGTACATAGTTGTATGTCATAGTTGCACAGCCTTCTAGTTACTGTATGTGGGACGTGGCCTCAGCATGGCCAGAGAAGCGGTGCGTCGGTGCGCACCTGGGATCTGAACCCAGGCCGCCAGCAGCGGAGTGCGAGCACTTAACCGCTAAGCCACGGGGCCGGCCCTATTTTATTTTTATTTGCAATTTTTACACAGTGAATTCTTTAAATGCAGTATTTAGAATAGTTTACTCTTGTGGGTTGTTTCAGTAATGGTTTGATGGTGTAAAATGAGTTTAAATTATTTTTCAGGTAGGTAAAATTATATGTAAATATAGTTGCCCATGTCAGAAACTTGGGAATCATTCTTGACTCCTTCCTCTTCCTCATACTTCACATCTAATCACCAAGTGTTTGAATAATTGTCTTCTAGATATTTTTCTAATCAGTCCACTCTTCTCCATCCCCACTTCTACTACCTTGGTCTAAGTCAATATCCTTTGTTTTTTGAACAAGTTTCTGCTCTTACATATGCATGGCACACCTCACCCCCAAGCTCAGTCTATTCTCAAAAAGCTGATTTGTCATTTCTGAAATGCAAGTCTCATCATTAATGGCTTACTATTACTTTGAAGATAAAAATTCAAAACCTTTTTAGCAAGGTGTACAGACCTACCCTACTGAGAAAGAGTTTTGAATCTTTACATTTGAAAGATATTTTTGCTGGGTATAAAATTCTAAAGAAGTTGTTGATGTGCTGCCTCCTGGATTGCATTGTTTCTGACAAGAAGTCTGCCATCATTCTTTGTTCCTTTGTATGTAATGCCTTTTTTTTTTTTCTTTTTTAAACTCTGGCTGCTTTTAAGGTTTTTATCTTTATCATTGAATTTGTGTGTACTTTAATTATAATGTGTATTAGTGTAGTTTTCATGTTTTTTGTGCTTGGGTTTGTTGCACTTATTGGTTCTGTGGATTTACAGTTTTCATCAAATTTAGAAAAAATTTTGACTGTTATTTCTTAAAATAAGTTTTCTATACTCCACTCTCACCCACCTCTTTCTGGGACTCCAATTTATATGTGTATTAAGGCTGCTTAAAGTTGTCCCACAGCTTACTGATGTTCTATACATTTTCCCAGTCTTCTTTCTGTCGTGAATCTTGGATAGTTTCTATTGCTGTGCCTCACTAACCTATTCTTCTGCATGAATTTGCTGTTAATCCTATCCAATGTATTTTCATCCATAGAAGTTCAATTGTTTTTTTTGTGTCTTCCATATCTCTTCTTAACTTGCTATTTCTTTTTTCTACCTCATTTAACATAATAAATATAACAGAAATCGTAAATAAGGACATTAAAACAGCTATCATCTGTATCATTTTTGGGTTTGTCTTTATTGATTGATTTTTCCTCCTCATTTGGAGTCATATTTTCCTGCTTCTTTGAATGCCTGGTAGTTTTTTGTTGGATGTAAATTTTACATTGTTGGATGTTGGGGTTTTGTGTGATGTGTGTATTCTTTTAAATATTCTTGAGCTTTATTTTGGAATGCAGTTAAGTTACTTGGAAACAATTTAATCATTTCAAGGCTTGCTTTTAAGCTTTGTTAGGTGGGCCAGAGTAGCCTTTAGTCTGGGGCTACTTTTCTCCACTACTGAAGCAATATCCTCCTGAGTACTCTACCTGATGCCCTGTTTGTTATGAGGTTTTTCCAATTTGACTGTGGGAACACGAACTATTCCCAGCTCAAGACTTTTTCTGACTGCTTCTTTTTGGTTATTCTTTCCCTGTTTTTGGATATCTCCTTGTGCTGATCGATACTCACCTGAATACTTGAAAGGAACCCTCTGTACGTTTTTGGAGCTCTCTCCTTTCTATGCAGTTGTCTTCTCTCTGGTACTCTGCCCTGCAAATTCTAACTCGCCTGGCTCCCAAAATTCTTAACTCTGTCTCCTCAACTCGTCAAGACTGCTTGGTTCAGTTTGGGTTCCCCTTTCCCACACCACAGCCTAGAAACTGCCTCTAAGCAGTAATCTGGGGTAATCACTGGGCTCACCTCATTTAATTCCACTATCCTGTACTGCCTCTCATCCAACATCTAAAGCCCATTTTTTCACATATATTTTTCCCATTTTTTTTCAGTTGTTTGAGGTGGAAGAGTAAATGTTTTTCCCACCTTAGTAAATGAAACAAAGTTTGCCCAATTGCTCAAGCCAAAGGCTTAGGGTTTATTCTTGGTTCCTCTCTTTTCCTTCATATCTAATCCACCACCAAGCTGTGTCAGTTCTACATTTCCACTGCTACTAGGTTAAGCATCCTTCACTTTCACCTGGATTACTATGCTGACCCACTATTCCCTTTCCAGTCTTGCCTCCTACAGTTGGTTCTCCACCACATGAATGAACTTAAATATATGGAAATTATATCATCCCTACTTTAAACCCTTCCTGGCTTTCCCTGTGGTGGCCTCCAAGGCCCTTCATCATCAGGGCTGCCTCCCTTCCCAACTTTGCCTCTTCAGTACAACCACACTGGCCTCCCTCTGTTCCTCCATTATGCCAAGTTCTTTCTCATATCAGGCTTGTGCCTGGAATACGTTTCCTTAGGTTCTCCCCTGAATGGCTTCTCAACTGTTTGTTAGTTCCTTAGCAGGGCCTTCTCTGATGACCATAGTTAAAGCAGTTCCCCCTCTTATCCTCATTATCAGTTATATGGCCCTGTTCATTTCCTTAATCAGATTATCTTGTTTATTTTTTGCCTACTTGTTTCTGTCCTTCCCCACTAGAATGTAAGCCTCTTAAGGCAGGGACTTTTTTCTTCCTTCCTAGGTCCCCAGAATGTAGAACAGTACCTGACCCATAACAGGTACTCAACATAAATGTGCAGAATGAATGAAGAATAGACCTCAAGTAATTTACCATTCATTCATGCAGTTTTTTTCTATTAGGATGGAAGAGTTGTAACTTCGTGGTTCTCCTACCCTCAGTGCTTCATTTATCCCTGTATAATAATTTCTAGGAACTTGGGCTTTTGTTTTGATCCCCCAAAAGGAGTGAGATATAATATACTTTGGTGATATTTACCTATTACTGAGAAACTAAGATGTAAAAACAGAACTAGATTAGGCCAGTCATACATTTAATTGGTAGAGTAATAACCATAGAAGAATAAGAAAAATACCTGCTCACTTATTTTTATAATGTTATATTGGGAAAAATTATCCCTCCTAAAATTTCTCTGGAGGTATAACTTCAAACTTCCTAAATATGTACATTATAGTTCATGTATAATATAAACTAAATACTTTAAAGAAGTGACTAATCAAATACTTGCCTAATTGGAGTATGGTTTTCTTGACTTTCAGACGTAGAAAAATTCTAAATACCAGGATGTCTCACAAAGTATAAGCTTAAGGGTCTATGTTTTTATTTTTGGTTCATTGTATTTAGAGGTAAGTGGACCTGTGCACTGTAAAAATAACACTTTCAAATTAATGAAATTCATTTTTGAAATTTTTTTAGATATACATGCTCATAATGGGCCAAATGGTTCTCACTCCCAAATATATGATTTGGGATTATCAAGAAGTAAATTCATTAATCTCATCTATACATGTATTGACTAGGGTAGCAATTCAAAGTAATCCTTTGCTTCTTGAAGTTATTGGTGCCTATCTTGAATAATGAAGTTTGAATTTCACAAATGTGCAATAATTCCATACCTTTCCTGCAGCACATCCTGAGCCCATAAGCTGTATAAGGATTACTCAAGGTAACAAATGGTGGTGGTTTGATAAGGACAAAATAAGTCTCTTGATTTGTGTATTTGCTAATAGTTCTGCTTGACTTTAACGCAAACACTGTAAAATAGACTAATACCCACAGGATTCTTTGTCAAAATATAAGTTTAGGCTGAATTAAATCACTTGGCTATGTTTTTGTATTTTAATGTATGTGAGAAAGATTCAGTTCTCTAATAGACAGAATTCCACTCTTCATAAGCCTTCATACTCCCTTTTTATACTTAAGGCTCTATTTGCATAGGAACATTGAAAACAGATCCAGGTTAGTGGATATCTTAAACTAATTCAGTTAACTAAAGCAAAGTTTATAGATTTCATGTAATAATTATGGCATGCTTTAAACAAGTCATTGTATTGCTGACAAACCTTAATAGCATGACTAGTGAAGAGCTGCCTGAATAAACAAATCTGTTATTGTTTAAAAAGGACAGATAGTTCTTAGGCATTGGAACATGCCATGATGATATAAAAAGTTGCTCCGATGTATTCTTCATACCAGACTGAAACATCACGTTTTGTGACTGAAGTCCAAGTTTATACCAGTGTCCCTTAGTTCCAGGAGCACAGTGTGGACTAAGCTTCAGCTTAAACACATCTTTGTGGAGGTCATTAGTCAGACTGTCACACAGTTTAACTAATTTGAATACTCTTTGCTTTCTTAAAACCTATGTTTCTTTGAATGTTGGACATATTAAAAATGAAATTCTTAATATGTATGTACGTCCATATGTTTAAAAGCATTTGGCTTTTCCTACATGAGAATATCGTACTATTGTTGAAAAAGTAAACAACTGGGGCCAGCCCTGTGGCCTAATGGTCAAGTTTGGTGTGCTCCACTTCAGCAGCCCGAGTTCAGTTCCCAGGCACAGACCTACACCACTCGTTGGCAGCTATGCTGTGGCAGAGACCCACATACAAAACAGAAGTCTGGCATAGATGTTAGCTCTGGGTGAATCTTCCTCAACAACAACAACAACAACAACAACAACAAGGAAGTAACCAAGATAGTCTCATGTAGAAATCAAAAGCCAAATGCTTTTCTGTGTCCAAGAGTTGACTTTGTTCCAAAGCTACTTGATCCATAAAATTTGATGTAACTAGGTTAGAAGAAGACAGTATTGCGGCATCTTAGTCTCTAATCTCTCTAGTGAGACAATATAATAGCATCCCAGAACTTTTCTGCTATTGTGACCAGTAAGAAAATATGTCCACTAAAACAACAACAAAACTATTTTGCTGGCACTTTCTACAGCCTTTGCTATAACATACATCTCCACTGTGGGGCTTGGGAACTACGGGTTTGGGTTTTCTTTTGAGTGAGTACATGCAAATGGTAGGCAGAAATTTATTTTTCTCCTCAAGAGTATTAAATTAACCATGTTCATCTTGAAATAGGTTTTAGGCATTGTTCGTAACAAGAATTAAATGAAATCAAGTCAAAACACTTCATTCTAAAACTAAGTATAACCTATAGTAAATAAATGATTTAAAAATAATGCAAAATGCCACAGTCTGATGAAATAAAGTTTTGTGACCTTGTGGTAACGGGATTTACACTATTATATCCATTAGAAATGTCTAGTAACTGAATTTCTAATAAGACAAGTCCTTTTCTCTCCAACAGTATAAGAAAGGGTTATTTGGGGTAGCAAATTATTTATGCAAAGCTATTTTCTTTAATGAAAGGTATAAAATAGGTATAATGATATTTAACTCAAACCACTTTCAAACTTTACCTGAATAGCTATACTTTTATCTGTATGTAAAGTCATCATTATAAGAGGCTTCATGATTGTAGGACTTGAAATGTTTGTTACTTGGAGGGACAAACCATGATGGGAATTAGCTCCACAAATAGAAAACAACATTAAATAAACCTGACAGTAAAAGAAATGCAGGCCATAAACTGGTTTTTTTTTTTTAATATCTATATAAAAAATAACAAGCGATTTACAGATCTCTTTCTCTAATCAGAACCTCAAGTGTATATATAAAGGTACTGTACAATATATAAACATTTACAACCAGTACATCCATATTTTGCTTAGCATTCCAAGGCCACATTGCTAAGTCAGTATATAATCAGTACAGTGACAGGTTACTTAGAAAGGGAAGAGCCACATCAGACTGACAACATATGACATCCAAGTTATGTCACAGTTAACAATAAAAACAGGATTCTTATCACTAATTGTGGACTATAGGGAAAATAAATCATTTCTGTAATACTAAATTCTTAGCATTTATCAAGCCTCCTAATTTTGCTCTATTCAAGTAGTTACAACAGGTGGGTGAATATAATTCTGGATGAAAATGGGATTTCAGAAATCTCACTCTGGGAAGCATTGTATCTACAGGGGCTGAGTCAGTTGTTATATTAAAGAGTTTCACAGTCAGACTCTGAGAGGGAAGGACCTGGACATAACGTGTTTCACAATAACATGATGAACCCTGGGTGACAGAACAAGTGTGTTCGCATACTCCATAAAATGGTTTTATTCTGAGAATGTTCCTTTATTTATAGATGCTACTGAATGCTGCTCCAGGGGACTGAAAAACCTGGATCTATTTTATGGAGTTAAAAACTGTCTCCACCTTCCAACCAACATCTTTAATTAGACTTCAAAAAAGAACTCTGAAAATGTGTACAAGCTAAGCAGAGGTTTAGTCTCCCTTTCTTGTTTTTAAATAAGTTAATGTAGCTAGAATTTAAAATTAAATAAGTTCTAGCAAATGCTGTCTACCACCATGTTTGTCCTTACTTGCTGAGCAGGTCTCACACAGGTTCTGCTTCTCAAGACCCGAACTTGTACAGCTGCTACCAGATGAGTTGGTACTTTATCTGGCAGTGGACTGTGAAACTGGTTTTATAATTAAGTCTCTCCACAATCTGTATGATCTTTTGACTCTTCAAATATGTATTATGTATTAACAACTAATGACTTAGTAGTAGGTACAACCAAAATATCCAGAAGCAGAAATTTGATGGTTTTTCTTCGAACAGCAATAAGCAATGTTTCCATATGCTTCTTGGTGGTTTCATTCATAATGAAATAACTGAAATAAAAGGGTGATCTGAGATGCCATAACTACGTCAGGGTTGGATAACACAGCAGGAGGTGAACTCTTAATTGCTTAAAGTACTTTCTCATTTTGAATATTCAATTGTAAGTAATATCTTGAACAGTTATTTGAAATACCTTATCCAGCCAAATTAAAAAATCCTAAGAAAGTGTCACTATTTGACTACATTTTTTTTCTTTACAGTAGTGATGAGTTTTTAAACTGGGACATGATCAGTAGCTGTTAGAAGAGGCAACTGCCATCTTTAATGCTAAGTTAACAATCTCTTCTTCTGCAAGGACTCAAATATTTCTCTCTGTAAACATGCAACATGCTATTGAGAATATCAAATCCCAAGCCAAACCTAAGTTTTTCATTACTGTGGAAATATCTGAGTGAGAAGGATAGAACAGACATGATACAGTAGATAACTTGGCACAAATATAAAGTGAGTTGTGACCACATTGTGAGTATCAACACATGTCATTTGTTCAGACACTCATGAAGACGAGCTGGGCCGCCTGAGCAGGACACGTCAGATGAGAGGCTGGGCGTGTCAGATGAGCACATGGATACAGTTCCTTCCTGAGCACAAGGGAGGGCAGCCAGCCAAGGGGACAGTTGGTTCTTAGCGATCCTAAAGGCCCTTCATGCAGCCTAGATAACTTGATGCTCAAATTAAAATGTATTTATGTGTGTTTCAGAATTTCTGAAAAAATGACTTTTTTTTTTAAAAATGCTGCTTTTTAGTAAGTAAAGATTACACCTTGGTTTTCTTTGTTTTGTACTAAAGGTCACAGCTGTTTCTCGGCCACACCACTCATGCCTGTGGCTTTATGCGCACTCGGCACCCTCCAGGGCCCTGGAGTTATCGGTGTCTTCTTAGCTGGAGAACCCCTTTCAGGTTTGAACCCTCCACTTTCTCTGTTTTTGTCAGCTACCTCAAGGTCTTTTCCTTTGTGATCTTCTGTTTTGTTTAAAACCATTCTTTCTTCAGGTTCCTGCTTCAGCTTTTCTGATATTTTGACGCTTTCTCCTATTTTATCTTTACTAGAACTTGTATCTCCTAAGGTTGCTCTCCTTCCTTTTTCATTTTCAGATACTACTATACTAGCAGCGTTATTAGTCTTTTTGGATGGAAGAGACTTTTCATCCATTCTCTTGCTTTTTTTCTCTGGAGACCTTGTTCTATTTTTTCCAGACTGACTCTGCTTCATATCTTTCCTGATAACACCGCAGTTTTCTTTCCCACCCGAGATCTGCTCAGCACTGTCACTAGCACGGCCCCCTGCTTTTCGACTCTCCAACTCGAGTAATTTGGCTTCAGCATTGGGTTGGTCTTTGCTTCCCTCAGTTTTTTGCTGCTGCTTTGGGCTTGAAGACTGTCCTCTGCTGTGTCGGCTGTGATCTTGTCCAGACTCTACCCTGGGGCCCACGTGACCACTTTTATTCTCCCCTTTCCTGGGGCTGAGTGATCGATCTCGGGGTCTTCTTTTGGGGTCATTTTTTAGAGGACTGGGTATCTTTTCTAAATGTTCCTCTGAATGTCGACTGGCTGACTTTTGGGGACTAGCAGATCTACCTCTTTGTGTAACACCAGTTTCTACTTTCAAGAGATTTTTCTTGTCACTGTGCCCATGACTGTTGGGTGGATCCCTTTTATTCACATTTTTCTGGAGAAGAGACTGATGCTTTATATCAGACTGCTTTTCATTTAAAGTGCTTTTCTTATCATGCACAATGTCCTTTAATTCTTCGGCCTTTTCACATATCTGAACTCTCATTAAAGATTCTTCAATTACTGGCACATGAGACTCTTCACACATGGAAGCAGAATGTGAAGATGGGGGAAATGGTGACTGTTCATCATAAATCACATTTGAAGATGAAGGATTATTCATATCCCAATCACCTAAAAAAAAGTGATTTCAGTGGAACATTAAATTTTAGAATTATAAATAGGAACAATAAGTTTTGAACTTTGACAGCCATTTAAATTATACTGACTGCTTGCTTAAACAGCCTTGAGCATGGATATTTTATAAATAAAGTTTATATATGTTTAGATATCTCTCTATAAAGGTAGATGTATAGAGACAGCTGTACTTGTACATGAAGGGTAGGTTGTTTATATATACACAAAAATAATAGTATTCATTTTTCCAATTACTTATGTATAATTAGTGAGATAATATATGATGTGTAAATTCTTTGTAAATAGTAAAGCCCAATAAAAAACTTAGAAGAAATAAATAATAAAATTGGACCAAATTACCTGGTCCAAGAAGCTTACTAATTTAGCTGTTATCAATGTATATAGCTTACGGATATGCCAAAATCACTAATAAAGAAGACCAAACTGTGGTAACCAGAATGAGGTTCATGGGTATTTGTAAATAATTTTTTTGCATTAAGCTGTCAAATTTAATGTCAAAAGGAAACTGAAAAGTGCAGAAGATAGAAGTAGATGTATTTAATAGCATCATTTTTAATTAAAAAGAAGGACGTGATTTACAAGACATGCAAATTTACCAAGTCTTTTTAAGGAAAGACCAAGAAAAGCCCTGAAAGCCTTAATGTTGCTCAGGTTTCACGTAGGAGCACAGACCGGAAGGAGCCAAACCTGAAGAAGGAAGAGAAAAAGCCTAGGACTGTGTAAAAAAAATCACAGCACAGTTAGCAAAGATGTCACCGGGAACGTATGATTTACAAGCAGATGGTGGAAGATAACACAGAGAATTATAGGCTAGAAGGGGACTGTAGGAAGTCATGTCTACACTTATCCCTCAAAAGCTCTATGGGGAGAAGGGGAGGAAACTAGAAGGGACAAGTACTAAGTGGTGTGGTACTTTATTTCTAGACTATTGCATTCAATTAAAAAATAGTGATTTTCAAATACTGTGATATTTCAAAAACATACAATGAAATCAAGAAAGTTTAAGATCAGTACAGGAGTACAGACATGGTCCCAGGTCCAACTCCTTGTCTCTAGGTAGGGCTATAGCCACTTGTTTTTGACAAGTGGCCAGAAAAGCCTAAAATTCTTATTAAGAGAGAAACTTATCTTACTTTAAGGAAATAAATAACATCTGAAGAGATTTCAGGTGTTTTTCATGACATTTAAATCATTTGCCTCTAATGTCCCTTTTACAGGTACATTTCTCTACAAGAGCGACTATAAGTTTTCTATTGAAACTGCTTAACATATATTCCATTCCAACAAAAGTCCTGCCTGAAGCCACCACTTATTTTGTAATATTATTCAAAATAACTATGCTATATAACTAGCTTTAGCTGGTTCTGGTGTTTACCTTTGAATTAGCTAGTAAAATATCTATCCCACCAAATAGATAGACCTTTTCCTTCTGCTGCTCCCTCCCTAACACACTCTTAACTTTTCAGCTCCAGGTGAGCTACTTCACCTACCATGGTCAGGTATCAAGCCAGTTCCTGGCCTCAAAAGAAGAAGAACTTTATTTCCACCGGCCTGGATGAGCTCGATTGCTCGAGTATGTGTGATGCCTTGTGTAGGTTCCCCATTGATTTCAACAATCTGGTCACCAACCTGGACAGAGAACATTCACAAGAACAACATGAAACTATGCAGCCTTCTTCAATTCCACTTCTCTCAACTCTAGAGCCGCTCAACCTTGCTGAGTGACTCTCTTTCATTTGTGAAATATTTAACTTGTACACAGTGGTCGTAGCAATAGGAAAAGACAATGTCCAGTTTTATTTACTCTATAAAATCCTACACGGGAAAGTTTTATGACTAGTAAGCAGGACCTGGGCATCTTGAAATCACGAATCAGATTCTAAGTTTTCCAGCAAAGGTTAAGTGATGGAAGGGGTGAAGTCTCTATGATCCACATGACACCACAGAGCTATATCTGAATGATCAACCTGCAAAGGGTACTTTCCAACTTGAGCTGAATCTTGAATTTATTTCCTAAAACCTAGGAAGGTGGCTCCTCATCTTTGAAGCCTTTCCTGACCTCCAGGGAGAACTGCCCACTCCTTCCTTTGTGTTGCCCATATACCCTGTACATATATGAACAATTAGATAAATGAAATATTCATAGATTAAAACTCTGAAAAAATTCAGCTTGGAGAACTTAATATGAATAACTGGCTTACACTTCATGATTTTAGTGTGAAATGATTTCCTTAGAAAACAAACATAAAATTGGGATCAGAATAAGATGCCTTAGTACCATTGCTATTTACTAGAAATGTTGTCTATAATTACTTTAAAAAAAAAAGAAAAATATGGATGAGTCAAGTATAACTTTTGCAAAGAACCTGGTTAAAGATAACGATGGTAGTTATTTTAAAATATATTCCAGATTTTTAAATATATTTCAAGGTGACAAGCAACTGAAGGGTATTGGCTTCTAAAGAGAAAAACTGAACAGTGGAAAACTACTGAAATTCCAAAAAGCAATTCAAATATTTATTTAAAAGCTTACTAAAACAATCCAGAAATAACACAACAGAAGAGGACTCAGTAATTATTTAATAAAGGTTGGTAGGACAACTCTGTGTCCACAGATGCAGCAGAGCACAGTGGCTAAGAAGTGAGCTTTGGAGTTATAATGTCTGTGGTTCACTCCTGGCTCCACCTCTTCCCAGCAGAGTGGTCTCATTTTCCTCTCTGCTAAATGGGGTTAATATTAGTACCTACCTCCTGGGACACATAGGAAGATTTAATGAGATAAAACATGATTACACGCCAATCACAAATAAATGTTAGTTTTCAAGTTATTTATTTTCTTGTTTTCCCAAAAAATATTTAAAGTGCACCAGTATGAAGAATATTTAAATGTAGGCTGTGCCCCCACTATATAAAATGCAAAAAATTTCAAGTAAACTATGAAGTAGAAAATAAGTGTTTTGTTGCATATTTATGAAAAAAAAAGATGAAAGTCTCACTGTTGAAGAAATGGAGGATATCACAAACAAGATAGATGGATTTAACATAAAGTGGAAAAATAATCTTAAAGAATCTTAAAAATAATCTTAAAAAGAACCAAAGTGAGATGATAATAAACATAACAGGATGGAGAAAAGTAATAAACATAATTAATGTAAAACCTTATATCCAGAATATATAAGTGAAACAAAGTCAATGCCCAGATTTCCCTTAATAGGTGATTGAAGAAAAATCATTTTCATGAGGAAATAACAGATGACAAAATAGCACTAGATATAAAATCCTGCTGATAATTAGAGAAATCAAAATTAAAGCAGATAGTATTTGGAGCATGCTTTGGGCATATCTTGTAAAATATGGGTGAGGTTATAATTAATTTCAATCACATTCTTTGGCTTAAATTCACTGTCCAAACCTGCACATTTCTTATTCTTTTAGCAGTACAACAAATAAATTGCAATAAAACTTGTAATTGAACAGATTTGCCACCAGGTGTCATTTTTGTTTAACTTTAAATTGGGGGGAAGGGAAAAAGCCATGGCTTCAAGATTTATGGTAGACAGGCCCTCGGGGGAAAGAAGTTCTATACTGGACTATATAAAGCTAAAGATTAAAATAACGGCACCTTTGAGAGGGAAATGTAAACATTCTTTTAAAATTTTGTTACTTTAAACATTTAAATGTGATAAGAATAAAATGGGGACTACATCTTTTGATAACTAGAACAAATAAAGATTCAAGTTCTAGTTTGTATTATTGAAAAACAAAATTATGGGGGACAGAGGAGAGGAGAGAGGAAAGCAGAAAGAAATGAAAGGGAGAGAAAAAAGAGAATAGGAAGACCAAAAGAAGAAAAGAAGTAGGAAGAAGGGATAGAGAAAAATTATGTTCTTTAAAAAAAAAAGTCACTATCTTTTAACAACAATGACTAAAAATGTTTTAAAATTAAAAAATAATATTTCTAACATATTGCTTACATTATCTTACCACTTGTTAAGAACCTATAGGCATCCCAAAGGAATCAAATCCAAATGGATACAAGCCACGGCCTGACAGGGAAAGCACACCAACTGGGCTTAGAGGACGACAGACCGGGGTCACACCATGGCTGTCACAGGCCAAGCAAACCTAGCATGTGACTTAGTCTCCCTGAGCCCCAGTTTTAAATCTAGAAGTGAGGATAATGCCACCTACCTCACAGAGTTTTTGTGAGACGAAAACTAAGTGAAAACACATGTTGCCTGGAAGATAGCAGACTCTTAATATTTTCTAAATTTGATTCTATTCTATGTTGAATATTTAACTAAGTCTGACACTATTCCCTAATATTAACTTTTTCCATTCAGGTGATTTCTCATTCCCTTAGCACAGAATACCTTTTTCTGTCTTCTCTAAATCTTAACCAGATTTAAGGACCAACCTAAGACTCACTAAATTTACAGATCCTCTCAATGACTCTCAACACTTTCCATCTATATTACAAGTGAACATTTTCTTGTTTTACTGAATTACACTATTACATTTTTTGCTAATTTCTTCATATATTGCAAGTCCTTTCTACCCAGTAATAAGTTCTAGGAGCTAATCTTAAATATTAAAAAAAATAATTCTCTCATTATCTAGAAGTAATATCCATCCATTCTACTCTTTCAACAAATGGGGCTCTATGGAGCATCTACTATGAATAGTCAGGGCACTATATCAGGTGCTGAAGATACTAGAATAATAGGTACAGGACACAAGTGCAGATGTCAACCTAACAGAAAAAGCAAGGGAGACGAGAGAGGCAGGGAGGGCAGACAGGGATGCTCAGGTCACTCCATGGTGCGAGTGTTAGCTGGAGATAAACTCATCACTCAGGCAATGGCCACCAGAGTAAGTTGTCATTATAACAAAGCTCCCAAGATTCTTACCAAGTCAAGATTTTGATAGTTTAGTAGCCAGAAAAAGAACTCTTCTCTGAAAAGCTGACTTATATTCTTAGAGTTTAGAACAAACCTGAGCATAGCAGTAATAGCTTATTTGTTCTTCAAATTTCAGTTTCTTTTTGAAATTAAAGTTGATTTAATCATGGAATTCTAAAGTTTCTGTTCATATGACATGTTTTAGAAATAGACTTTGTCTACTTTAAGGCCTGTTCACCTTTTATTTGTTTGGTGAGATTAGTGTATCCGAGGGTTATATTTGGAACCAACATTTATTTTATAATTATATCCTAGTTTTTGGTTTAATTGGATTTTTGTGACACTAGATAACAGTGGAAGATTCTTTTTATTGATGTTTTAATAGTTTATAACATTGTGAAATTCTGTGTTGTACATTTTTGTTTGTCCATCACCATGTATATGTCTCCCTTCACCCCTTGTGCCCACCCCCTAGCCCCATTGCCCCTGGTAACCACAATAGTTTTCTCTGTCCATTTGTTGGTTTATATTCCACATATGAGTGAGATCCTACAGTGTTTGTCTTTCTCTTTCTGGCTTATTTCACAGTGGAAGATTTTTTAAAAATCAACAGATTTAAAGTACCCAAACAGATTTAAAAAAAAGAGGGGAAGAAAAAGGACCAAGAAAACCAGGAATAAGTATGCCATCCCATAAACAGTGCCTCAAATTGCTCTTATTAACACTTTCAGACGTTTACTTGGGCCATGTATTTTATGGATGGATCTGCATTCTGCAGATGAGAAAACTGAGGTTCAAAGAATTTACCCAACTGTACACAGAGTTCAATCCTTATCCTGTCTGATTTCCAATCTCATGTTCTTCCCACTCTATTAAATTGTCTCTACCAGAAAGTGAACTGAGCCTGGACCCAGCAGCTCCTGATTAACTTTAGCTAAACTAAGGCATTGGCCACTGGTCCCTCTCCTGGTCATAAACATTCTCCAGCTCTGGTTCTGTTGCTCTGCATTCTCACCCTCCCCATTTTCTCTATCTTCTCTGCTCCACTAATTACAGGTCTCACCCAGAGTTCTGCCCTTGGCCCACCACTCTAAATCTTCTCCTTTAGTAATCTCATCCATGACAAAGGCTTCAATCATCACCTCTGTCTGGGTAGTTTCAACATTTGGGACTTTACCACTAGTTCTAATTGCCTGCTCAAATTGCTGGTAAACCTCCACCTCAACATGACTAAAACTTAGTAGACCATCAATCTTTGCCAAATCCTTTCTCCCCTTGGCCTCCCTAACGTTTCTCCATAGTACAAGCTGGGCAAAGCCTCTAAGTCATCCTTTACTCTTTCTTTTTCTTCATCCTTCACTCATTTAGGAAATACTGATTAGTCATCTAGTCTGGTCCTTTCTTCACTAACAGTTGATCTCTTATGCATCTCTTATCATCCATCCAAAGTGTTATCACTCAAGTTACAGTCCTACCACTACCACTGTATGCCTAAACGATAGCCACCTGTATTCCCTCCATCCCTCCTGCACACCACTAACAGACTGATTTTACCAGTGTATTGCTCTGAGGGGGAACTTTTTGGCTCAAAAGGCTTCTGTGGCTTCCCACTGTCTCGGACTTCCATCTTGGTGACCCATCCTACTTCTATATATTCTCATTTTCTTCTATTCTCTTATGTATTTTCTAAATAAACTCTAGGTAAACTTGACCTCTTGCAATTCCCTATACAAGATGTATACTTCCTCAGTTTTACTCCTTTGCTCATTTTTTTAGCCTGGAATGTTGTCTTTCCTCAATCTCTCCCTACTGAAATCCTACCCACTTTCTAATGCAACCTGTTCTGTGAAATCTCTATTCATACTCACCACCTTTGAACTTGTACACAAGTCTGACTATTTTGAGGAAGGATGGTATCTTATTTGTTTTGGGGTTGCCCTTCTCCCAACTCATTCAGTACCCGGTATAAAGCTTTGAGGAAAGCAAACACTCAATACATGTTTACGAAATGAGTAATGGCAGTGGAACAGTGATGTGGAATCACCCAGAAGCCTTTTCTAATCATTATTAGGATATACCATCTAATAAATTGCCAAGATCATTTGCCTTTCTAGTTAGTTTCCCTAGTTAAAAGTGGAAAAAACTTCTCTTCCCTGATGCCTACTAGTGGTAGAGGGAGGAACTCTGAAGTTCTCTTGAGTAGCAGGAGAGGGCTGTCTAGAATTTAAAAGTTTCAGCATATAACTTAACTGAATATCAGTGAATTAACTATTTTTTAAAGGTTGAGGTCAGCACATGTCTTCTATATAAGATTTCTCTCTGAATAACATTCAGAAGAGGGAAAATATCTTATGCAGATCCATAAATGATCTGGTCTGCAATGCCCTGGACAAAGCTACAGTGCTTCAGAGCTGAGAACACCTAGGATAGAACATTACTGATGTGAATTCTAGTCCTTCAAATAATAAGAACAGTTGGGAGAGTCATGCATTTCGATCTCTGGCTACCTCTAGAGGCAGCTAAGAGGAAAAAAATCCTGGGCCTACTGTTTCTTGGAAGAAGTTGGAGATTCTGTTTTATCCTGGCTTTTCCAAGACTTTTACTAAGATGAAAGTATATTTTATTTACTAATCCATTTGCTCTCAAATGTCTTCTATGTAAGTAAAAGATGATTTTTCTAATTGACCAAAGTCAAGACAGCAAAAGTAGCATAATTGCAACATGGCATGGCGCACAGGAGAGGAGAGACGAAACCATCAGGGCTTAGAAAATGAAATGACAGGCACCCGCCTCAATCTTGCTTAGATTCAAGAGGTTTCTGTATTCCCTTTAATCAACTATTTTCAGAAGTTTCCAGTCTGGAGCCAGAACCAGTGGTCACAGACAGAAGCCAACTTACGTGAATTCTGCCGTCTTTGATGGCAGGACCCTCCTCAGCAAGACGCAGAATGAAGAGCCCCATGTTGTACTCCTTCCCCCCTCGGAGGCTGAACCCAAAGCCCCGGGGACCTCTCTCCAGCTCTACTGGGTAACAACCAAGGCTCTAGAGAGAAAGGAGTGTAAGAAAAACAAGTTTTCATGGACTGCTTTATTTACAGTTTGCAGAAAGACTACTTTTATAGCTGGGAGAAATGATTTATACTCTCAGTATGCATTTCTGTATCATAAGGAAGGAATGTAAGTTTTGGTGGAGAGCTTAATTTTTATAAATGTAGCCTAAATTAATCTGAAGATTACATGTCTTCTCTACTAGTTGGTCAATGTGCAACAGAACAATCAGAGAACACAATTTTAGAAAGTGCTTCCTTTAGTAGATTTTGACTAATTTTCCTGAAAAAGGAAAAAAACAAAAAACCCAAACCATACTTTGATTAACTCAAACACTGCTATTTCTAAATACTTAACCAAAGGTTCAAATTTCTCCAACTATAGGGTAAACTTTTCTTTAACTCTTTACATTCTCCCATGGAAGCTAAGAGAACGCCAAACACACAGTAGGTCCTCAAGAATATTGCTTTGGGGAACAAATTTATCTGAACTGATTTGCAATAAAAATTCACCAGTGTCAATGATTCAGCAACTGAAAATAAGCATCCACATCTGGGGGTATTTGTTTACCTGGTTGTGCCGACTGCCTACAACTGAAATCATCGCGGTGTCAGGCTGTGCAAGGTGCTTGTGGTCAGACCACGAATGTCTGTAAGAAGTGGAGACGTCTTTTCCAATTTCACTTTCTAGGGCACTTCTACAAGAGAGAAATCAAGTCATTCTCTGAACTGAGAAAATGACAAACAGTCTTAAAGTAAAGGCATATTAATTTCTTTTCTTTTAAAAGCTGAACCTTGCCATTCTCCCTCTGTCAAACGGCTGTAAAGATAGACTGTATCTAGAACCAGGGAGATGCTAGACAAAAGCCTGGTTGTTAACTCCAGCATAGCTTAAAGTCTGTCAACATCCCCATGTTGTTTTGGTTTGGTTTGGTTTTTGTTTTAAGGGCGTCTCAGTGCAGTTTACATCAAGGAAAACCACACTCAAGTAACTGAACCAGAGGGCAGATAAGCTGACCTTGTCACTTACGTGACAAATTGACAAAGTGAAAAATGGTTCTCCTACAGCACCAACACCCATGAAGATGCTAAATCTGTAGAAATCTGGTTTTTGTTTCATGGCTAATATTTTCAACAAAAGAGGAAATAAATATGTACAAATACTGCTCTGCTCTGCGCAGGTAGTCTGAGAAGACAGTAATCCATGAGGGTCTGGGGCTTCCGTACCAAAATTATGAGGACCAACAGTAGCAGAGCCAGACTCTACTGTCACTTCTTTCTAATCCCCACTGTCAGGCTTGACTGGATAATTATGCTGTGCCCTGGGATGGGGCTGGGAAGAAGGATGAAGGTATTGAGAGAGTGGAGGGAATAGGGAAGGTATTTGAGGGTGGAAAATGCAAGAGTTCTCATTTTGACCTCATCAGCTGGCTTCTGCATAACTGTGTGGTGGAAGAGGCTGGGGTGGGTGGGTGATGAAGAGTGGGAAGATGAGGAAAGAAAAAAACCCAAACCTGAGAAGAACAGCCCCACCTGTCCCCAGGTATGTGGTTGGCCTGTGACTGTCCCACGGGCCTGTGCTGCAGGGCTGGGCTTTGCCTGGCTGAGTTTGTTCCTGATGGTGGACCATGATGCTCTGTTCAAATGAGAAAACAATAGAAATAAGAATTTGTACATAAAATGTGAAGGCCAAGTGGATCTATGAAAGTGAGACAATAACAAAGGGTTACCGCTTTACCGACTTGAATGACTTGAGCACAAACGCACTATTGTCAGCTGTCTAGAACTAGAACATTAACACCTTTTTCCCTGTGGCTTTTGATTAATGTTTCTGTTTGAAGAGAAGAGGAATCATATTCTTACTGTACACACTTTCCCTCTTTCACCTTTGTTTTGGTCATCCATACAACATGAAATCAGAAATGAACACACTCACTAATATTATCTAGAGGACAGAGCTCCAGGAAGTATCTTGTAGCCTATTCCAGAGCGCACTCCTCACAACTGGTAAGCCACTCTAGATGACAAAGCTAGGTCTCAGGAACGCTGGACCACAGACGCCAGTGTGCACATATCTTTAAACCTGCATCTTTAACATGGGAGCAGTTATTTTGCCTGACACTGTATAGCAAAGACAAACATTATCCTGCATGTTGACAAATGTTTATAAAGATTTTAATGCTTCTGTTTTCTAAGAGCACAAAAACAGGTGAAAAAGGTAACATTTGTTTCTGTATCATTCCCAACAGGTCCAGATCTCCTGTTGTTCCCTGAAGGCAGATTTCATAACTAAGCATAGTAACTGCCTGCATCCACAACTAGATGGCAAGTCATGGGAGATGACAGTTAAGAGACTCTTAGGCTGTCAGACTCATCTTTTTAAAGCTGAAACTTTCTAATGTTTCATTCTGTCCAAATATCAAACACAGGATATTTAAAACATCAAAGAGAGGGAGCAGAGCTTAGTGATTAAGACCATGAACTCTGGAGCAAGACTAACTGGGTTTAAGTCTGACCCCATCATTTACTATCTGTGTGTTCTTGGGCAAATTACTTAAATTCTCTGTGCTTCTAATCATCTCATCTATAAAAAGGGAATTATAGCAACCTCATGGGTTTACCGTGAATATGAAATGAGCTTATAATGTACATGCTTAGAGCAGTGCCTGGCATATTATACTTACTACATAAATGTTTCTGTTACATTATTGTTATCGTCATTATAATCATCAAAACGATAAAGTCTTATTTGGGGCTATATTTCTCTTAAAGTGTACATTCTGAAATATTAACCTAACTTAGCAAAAATGTTCAATGTAGAGGCCATTTTTAGGTTAGAACATGTGGAAATGGATGTAAACTGAATCTCAGAATATAATGGAGATAGAGAAAGACTGATGTTAAAGACAAGGGATAGGAATGTTTAGGAAGCAGTTTCAATTGAGGAGGTTGAAACTTCAGGGTTTACTATATGCATCACTATTTTATGGCTTGGATTAAGTTGTTTCTTTTCAAAGTTCTTGGGACTAAAAACATAGATAAATTATTTTTATTTAAGAATTTGTTGCAACTGAAAGCTATAGTACTCTGAAAACACAGGCAAGAGCATAAAAAGTGGAAGGAGAGTAATGGTATAGGGTCAAGCTATGGTCACACCTGAGGAGTTCTAATGCTGACTCTGGCTGCTGGCCTTCTGTATCTACATGGATTTGAACAATATGTACCAGACACAGAGATGTAGACCAACCTTTGCAGAACTTATCCAGAGAGTTGTCTCCCCTCTCTAAAGTCAAGCATTCCAGGAAGGGAGTGGAGTACAAACTGTTTTTTGGGTGGCGGGGAGACCTGGAAATTTGTTTGTTGCTCTTTTATATTACTATCATGAATTTCATTTTCCTAATTAGCTTAATAAGTTACTCATGTTGACCTCCTCACTGGTCTCCTTGCCACCAATCTCATCTTCATTTGCTTCCTGGATTCCTATGCTAGCACATAAAATGAAACATGCCACTGCCTTGCTTTAAAAACCTATGGTCACTTTTTATTGCTCATAAGATACTATCTAAACTTGTCACCTGTCTTCCCACTTCATCTCCTGTTCAAAATGTCACCTCTGTGAAATCTTACCCTGCTCCTTAAGCACACTTTTTTCATGGCATTTACCATTGTGTCAGAGCTAGGTGAATACCTGTCTGTCCTGCTAGACCATAAACTCCTTGATTTCAGGAATGACACCTCATTTATCTTTATATTCCTGTTCCCACTGGAAAGTTCCAGAAGTCCTTCCACTTTTGTTTACTGGTATTTCAATTTCAAGTTACCTGCCTCTAAACTTGAGTGCCCATGAGAGTTGAATTCCCATCTGTCATAATAACATATTACATAAAATCTATAACACAATACCATTTATATAACTCAAAAATAAATACCAACAACTTGTGTTCACTCTTAAAAATGAAATAAACAAGACCTGATACATAATTAGAAATCAACCTCAAAAAATAATACAATTTAAAGATTTCTTTACAATAAGCAAGAACAACCAGGCATCATCAATTTATGTTCTATACTTGAGAACAAGACGCCACGGTAGTGGAAGAGGTGGTCGTGTTTTTGGGAATGCCATGAAACAGAGATGAATGTTTGAGAGTTTTATACCAGACGTGATACTTGGCTTGGGAACTTGGTTAACCATTTCCTTGGCAAAATCAGCACCAATATTAAATAGTATCGAGCAAAAGGGGAAAAAAGAGGATGAAGGGAACACATTTTCCTTTTACCTATTAATAGTGAATGGCTTATGGAGAGTAGGGGAGCAGCATCAGATGGGAAGTAATACAGCTCTTAGGTGTTGATCTGAATGTGTGATTTCTGAAAATAGCTCTAGAGAGCTATAAATATTCATCTGACTCTTTAGTGCAGTTGATAAATTTTATACTGAATACAATGAAAAACTTGGAAGACTTACAAACTCCATGAATGGAATTTTTATGGACAGAAGAGATTCTGTTTTTTTCCTGAGAAAAATAAGAGATTCTGAATGTTTCCATAGTTTAATAAAACAGAGTATAATAAAACAAGGTGTAATCATTGAAATATGATTTTACATGTCAAATGTGATTGTATCTTAAGAGGCTGCGCCTACAGATGAAATACACTTTAAAGTATGTATCTGCTAGGGAGTTTTCTTCCACCTTCTATTTTTCTTAAACACTGACTGCCATTATATAGGAAACCTTAAGAGTATGTCTAGAAGTATTTGGGCCAGAACATCAAAGTTAACTTTTACTCTAAGAAAAATAACTGAGCAATTTTGGACAACCTCTCAGAGAAAACACCATCAATAATAAAGGGTAATTTGGGGGGGAAAAAAAACTATACTAAGAGAAAGAAGAGGTGTTTCTACTACTGAACTATCTATCTCAAGGCTAATCATGTGGTTCTTGGGTCAGTCAGCAATAAGATGTGTACAGATATTGAGTAAGCATCTAGAAAATTTTATAACGATCTGACAATAATTTTATGTCTTTGTTTTTATTTTTTGTTTAATTTTTATTGTATTTCACAAAAATGCTGGTCTGTGATGGATTGGAAAAAAGCCACTGGTCCTTTTTTATAGATGGTTTGAGAAACACTGATCTGTACTACTGCTAGTTCCACTACTTCTAGCAGCTTCTCTCACTACCGCACGCCAAGCATGGCGATATAAGTGCACCACATACGCCCTTCTCAGAACCCTGAAGTGTTATTTCCTGTGGCACTGAGGCCTGCTTTTGGGGGTCACAGAACAAAGTTAAGGCTAAAAAGCAGGCTTTAAAGATCATGCTAAAGAAACTGAGATAGAGAAACCTGGCCAAAATCACATTAAGTAACAGTAATCCTTCAAAATGTTTATGGAGCACTTACATGTGCCTACATCGTTTTAGGCCCTTGGGATTGAGTATTGAATGTGACAAAATCTCTAACTTCATGACTTTACATTCTAGAGGGAGAGATGACAATAGACAAATAAACTAATAGTTAAATAACCTCAGGTAGACCTAAGAGCAATGAAGAAAACTAAAGCAGAGTGAGGGATGGAGGACAGGAGCAGGAGAGAGGGTTATTCTGGACACAGCGGTTAGAAGGCATAGCAGTTACGCGTGCAGATTCTGAAGCCAGACTGCCTGATTCAAATACTGGTTCTGTCACTAGTTTTACGACCACGGGCAAGTTATCTATCTGCTCTATGACTCAGTTTCCTCCTCTACAGAACAGGAAAATAATAGTGCCTACCTAGGATTAGTGTATTAAATGAGTTAATAGATGTAAAGTATTTAGGACAATACCTGCCACACAGTAAGTGCTTACTAAATATTATGATCATTTCCTTAGGTGGTGACATACAGGCAGAGACTGGAATGAGGGAGCCAGCCATGCAGAGATGTGGTAGAATAATGACAGCTATCATTAGACGAGCACCTTAGGGTATTTATGCCTAGGTTATGTACTTTTTCACCTTTAATCTTCACAATGATCCTAAAATAGATATTATTATTCCCATTCTACTGATAAAAAACTGAAGGGTAGAAATGTTAAGTGGCTTGTTTAAGATCATACCACTGGCTAATAGGTGTCAGTGAACTATGCCAGAAGCTTTACTTCTTCTATTGGGTTCATGTTGCCTCTGCTGGGTATTGGCACAGAACTAAAAATCTCCTGACTGACTTTGTTCATTCATTCAATCATTCGTTCATTCATCCATTCACTCATTCCTTCATTCAAAAAATATTCACCAAGCACCTACTAAGTATCATAGTCAATTGATATTTTCTTTGTCTTCAAAGAGCTGACCCTTGTAACAGGGAGACAGTTATTTAGGAATAACACTCAATGAATTGCAGAGATAAGGAGTGCTATGGGATTTAGCGAGAGGAAGCCCATGTGCACAGAGGCCAATGATGCCTAGCTCAAGAGAGGGTTTGGAAAGAACATTGGGAGGTAAATTTAAAAGGCAGGCTGGGAGCAAAATCATAAAACACTTTCTGTGCAGAAAGTGAGGAAGCACTGGAGCTTCTACTGAGGAGGATTTTAGCAGGAAGAAGCAGCAGAGTCTGGGACAGAGCCTGGGCAGAGTGTGAGACAGACTAGAGAAAGGAAAAGAGCAGAGGCAGGGATGTCACAGGGTCCTAGAACTAGAAAGGGCCTCAGAGAGCAGCCACATGAACTCATGTCCATGCAGAAATAGCCCCCATGGGATCTTGGACAGAAAGGAGATTTATGTAATACCTTAGATAAAAATGTGTAAGAGTGGTACAGTAGGAAGAGAAAAGAAGAATCAAGAAAACTGAAACCTGATTAGATTAGAGAATCATGGGGGGAAAGGGGACATGAATACACATTATAATACAAGGAATTTTAATATGAAAGACTGACCCTTCATAATTCTGCTGTTTTTGGCTTCTCCTCATTAGTTTTGCAAAATCAGGAAAAATGAGATGAGCATTATGTAATGGTTACCTTGTAATTCATAAACAAAGAACATGAACTGGTGCTATTCAAAATGATTCCTAATTAGAAATTCTTAATGATCAAAAGGCAGCTTTAAAGCAAGGCAAGACACTAAATGCGTTTTATGCCCTATTTACTGGCCATTCCCACATACTGTCTTTCTCCCCACTTATAAAGCAGCTGCCCAGAACAAAGCCCTGCCCCCAAGGACAGGCACACTGTGGCCTGGGCCTGACATGAAAGGCTTGATATCGACAGTAACTTTCTTTGAACTCTTTAAAGCATTTTCTCTCACTCAAGCAGAGACTTAAGACATTATTTTAAGAAAATAAGATCTGAAAAGTATTACCAATCTCTTTTACTTCTGGGCACTTGCTTCTACAGCACATAAATAAATGGCCACCATTCCTAGCTGGATTATTTTTCTTGAGCTACTGACAACTTTATAATAAACCGTCTTTTAAATCCATTAAATGGAAAAGGCAAAAAATGAGACTCCGGGGGATATAAATATTCTATCCCTTCAGTGATTCTGGCAATGTTGGAGGAAGCACTGCCCCCTGCAGGCTCTGTGCCCCCTCAGATCAGCTTGGGGGAAGGCAGGTCTACTGTGTCCTTACCTTCTTCAGCAATGACTGTGAGTGTGACAGTGATGCCGGCATCTTTGATCAGCTGAACAATGTTATCATGGGACAGTTCAATAATGGACTGCCCATTCACTGCAGAGATATGATCTCCAACTTTCAGTTTTCCACAGCGATCAGCTGGACTTCCTTCTATGACTCGGCCAATTTTATGAGGAATAACTATGGGAAAAAATCCCCAGGTTTTTCAATTATTTAAGATACCTGTTAGAGTTGGATTTATCATCTTGATCATTATTTAAAAATTCAACATAACAACATCAAAGAAAATTCTGAAAATATATAGCAAAAAAGCACCACATGTGATCATCCTATCCAAAAGCAACTATTTTCATCCACTTTTTGCCCACATGCATACTCTGTATATAGTTGCAATCATAGCATATAAACCTCTTTGCTGTTTTCCACTTACCATAAACCTTTTTCCAATTTTTAAATGTCATCCTAATAATCCTGTTTCAAGGCCACTGACCTCACTAACGCTTATGACAAAATCTTACTGATCCGATGTTGCTTGTTTGTTGTTGGCCGTTCAGGCTGCATCACGTTTTTGGCTATTTTAGAAACTGTCACAATAAGGCTATCTTAGGTCCTGTTGAAGGGGCCTTTGCTCCCACAAGGAACCTTGTAAATAAATGCAGTTCAAACTCAAGCTTAGGACTCAAAAGTGACTGGTCAGAAATCCAGGTTCAGTGAAATGACTGACCCTTAAAATGAATCATACTTAGTTCTATAGCAAAATCAATTCTTTTTATTTATGCTTTTAGATCTTTTTAAAATTAGAAAAGCTGAGTGGAATTAGAACATTAAATGTTTAATGTTAAAATTATTTGGCTCATGGATAAAATCCTGCCCTGAATGCACAAAGCTGAGTCAAAGACATTTGCAAAGCCACTCCGTGCAGTTCTATTCTATCTCTAGCTCATAATGCTAAAGGCTTTCCTAGACTAACTATTAAGACACTTTGCTGTTATTAAGGCTTAAAATGAGTTCTCAGGCATTTGGGAAATCTTGTCAAAATATCTTTCACTGTTTAATAAGGGGCATTCGTATTAAGAAACAAATGTTCCTTCCACGTTCTCTGAGAATTTCCTTATCTAGGTCAGTAAAGTTATTAGGCACTTGGGCTCCCACCCACTATTGATTGTTATGAATAGGGTTAATTAATATTTTTATTTTTTATTTTTATTATTTTTTTTTTTTTTAAGATTTTATTTATTTATTTTTTTCCCTCCAAAGCCCCAGTAGATAGCTGTACGTCACAGCTGCACATCCCTCTAGTTGCTGCATGTGGGACGCAGCCTCAGCATGGCCGGAGAAGCGGTGCGTCGGTGCGTGCCCGGGATCCAAACCTGGGCTGCCAGCAGCGGAGCACGCACTTAACCGCTAAGCCACGGGGCCGGCCCTAATTAATATTTTTAAATGGCACTGTGTTTATGTTTAATTTCCATTGTAAAATGGGCTCCTTACTAGTATTTCTGAGTCATATCTAGGTGTATGTTATGGACAAATTAATAGACCTTCATTTGGACTGGAAGTTTTTCTTGGCCATGATTTATGTCCCCACAGACAGTGCCATTCCTTGGCTCTTCTGGGTTTATACAGTGAGAAATTTTATCTTAAAATAGAGGAAGTCAATGTTGAAAGCAAGTGCCTTTTAGCTCTGAATTATATCAAGTACTTATTATACCATTTTTCTTACAAACAAAGTGATTAGAAAAGCACCAGAGCAGTATGGGCTGTGTCCTGTGCCAGGCGGAGGGAGCTGATCACTGACAGACAACAGGTGGCACATCACAAACATAAGGTAAATCACACAGTGGTCCTGTGGTGGCCTTCAAATCAATACCTTAGTTATTCTCCTTCTTAGAGAAGATTTACTTGTGTACTGTGTTCATTCTACCTCCCCTGAGAAGAAAATCATTCACCTCCCTGGCACACTGAAAGGGGTTTGTTTAGACTTGGCAAAGTACCAAACAGAATTAATCTCTGAAGTCTCAGTGGTTCCTTCTCACCAAGTGAGCAATGTGGTCAAAAGAAATTGGCAAATCTTGGTACAGAACTTTCTGGAGGGTTAGTTGTCTGGGTGAGGGAAGGTAAAAGTAGTCTTGGCATTTATAGCAGTACCACCAAAACAATTAAGAATAACACATAGACCAGTAGAAAGATAACTTGTGAACATTCTCTGAATGGACTGGGAAGTTTTCCAGGTAACCCCTTAGAGTGCACATAGCTAAGGAAATGTCTGAAGTCCTGCCTTGTTGCTGTATACAAAGTCTATAGGCATTTGCCATAAAGCCAATTTATCTGTCTTCATCTTTGGCCTAAATCTGTCTCACAGACTGGCTTGTTCAGCTGCTCAGATCACTTTAGTGCTCTTAAAACATTTCTTTTCAGGAAAAGAAAGAACAGCAACTGGAAATGTCCCCTTCTCAAAGAAATCCTTTGCAACCCAAACTGAAAAGTTTATGATAAGAAAGAGAAACACTAAAACTTCTGAAGTACTAGCAAAGCAAAAACTAACCAAGTCCTTTTCATCTTAAATAATGATGTACACCTGAAATTTATACAATGTTATAAACCAATGTTACTGCAATGAACAAAAAATTTAAAAAATAAAATAAAATAAAATGATAATATCTGGCAAAAAAAAAAAAATCGAGGTCTAAGTATTCCATTCATTTTGCACTTATACACACTGGGTCCAGGACAATAAGGATGCTGTGGACCTGGATCCCTAATCTTTGAAAAAGTCAACAATAGAGAATCTCAGAATTTTATAACTGGTATTAGAGATGCTACCGGGAACTCTTCTTGTGACAAATGTCACCAGAAAACACATTGAATCAGAAGGAAAAAGTAATCTATACTGAGCAGAATACCAATCTACACCAAGACAAGGTCCATAAAGAATGATCTATTCTGATAGACACGTTTCTTGCCTTTTTTCTGTTATGCAGTTTGCAGCCATTGCTCAGTCTCTGTGAGTGAAAGCTCCTCAGCCAAGCTCACCCCATGACCCTTCTTCTTTCTATACAAGATGAATGGAGTTCCAAGAAGAATGCTTGCAAGGCTTGGCATTTTGTGAGATGATTAACTAGCATTTCAGTGAAATTATCAATTCTAGTTCTGCACCATGACTGAAAATATCAAGTACTTTATATAAAATTCATCGACAACCTAAGCCTAATTTGCCATTCAGGCTGTTAATTAATGAGCTGCAAACACTCATTTCCTGCCATACATTAGCTGCTGCCTCAATCTTACATTTTAATTGGGCTTTCTTTCTCATCTCATTTCTCAAGTGTTGATAAACTTTTTAAAGTTTCTTTAAACAAAAAAGATCAAGAGACAGTGACAGACAATTTTATAAATAACAATCATGATAACAGCAGCTAACATTTATTGAAGGTCCAGGCTGAGGGCTTCACGTGCATTATCTCCTTTAATCTTTAAACTCATATGAGAAAGGAAGTGTTACCATCATCCTCATTTTACAGGGGAAACTGTAGCTCTTGGAGGGTAAGTAATTTGCCCAAGATCAGACAGCTATTAAAAGACCTAAGCAGGGCTTGAATCCAAGTTTGTCTGATTACAAGGCCCAACATTTAATGACACTATCTTATACAGAGATCTAGCATCTATGGCACACAAAACCATCAAAATAGTAAGAAACAATTGAAATAAATAAGTATAAAAATATTTTAAAATTTTAGTATAAACAAATAAGTATAATATACACAAATAAAAAGAATATATTTAATATATATTGAAATGTAGCAATATAAATTTTAAATATAAACAAATAAGTATAATATACACAAATAAAAAGAATATATTTAATATATATTGAAATGTAGCAATATAAATTTTAAATATAAACAAATAAATATAAAAATATGTTAAACATATTTAAGTAATGCAACTTATTTTACTGAATTCCTCTATATTGCTTAGTTTTATGGTGAATACTAGACTCTCTCCTAATTTTTGTAGTGCTAGAAACGGAATATCTTCTACATAAAAAGTGGTTAGCATCTATCACACTGAGTAATAATCTTTCACTTTTTGTGTTAATCTAAATGCCTGGGATTATTGTATGGTATTAGAATGAGAACATGATTATCTAAACGGTTATTTGTTTTTGGAAATACTGATTTCCAATGATACAATATAAAATTCACCTAAAATCTGCTTTCTTTCATTTTTCTGACACAGGCCACATAATCATCCTCATAGCATCAGTGACAGTTCCAGTTCTAAATGTTACCATAGCAACTGCTTTTGGAAAATGGAAACTAGTATCAGTGAGCAGTGACCTGATACTATAGTAATAACTCATCCATGTCACAGAATCTCTTCCTTTACACACTTGCATTAATTTTAGAAGATTTCTGGAAATTGGTTTGGCTCACAATATTTTCCTGAAAGTGTTTTCTTTTTTTACTAAGGTTTTAGTAAAAAAGGTCTCACTACTCAAGATATAATCAAATCCACTAGCAAAGGCAAGAGCACATTTTCATGTGGTCAAAGATTTTTATCCTTTGACTTGGAAAAATAAAGTTACCAGAAAGCATGATACATAAATATCCATTTGCTGGTTTTCATTTTATATTCATTTGGATTTTATAATTATATTTAAAGATGATTATTTCTTAGAAACATAAAGACAAGACAAATATTTAATTTGCTGAATCATAACAGCCCGGAACACACTAGAGGTACTTCCTCCTTTATTGAGGGAATTGATATATACAGTCATCATTCCAAGATGAGAATATTAACTGGGTTCAGGATATTTAGATTAATTTTTAAAGGTTCTGACAAAATTTTTACCTTTCAATGAAGCATATATAAAAGAATGCTTCTTATCATTTAAGAAGGTTGCTTTATAGCTGGAATATGGCAATTATTATTAAATAACAAGAAAGGACTATTTAAGACATATGTGGGTCAAGATTTTTCTATTAATCTGTTTTGCTGCTTCTCAACTGCTTCTAGCGTTTAATTCATTTCTGCATACAGAATTTCTCCAAATTTAAAAAAACCTATCCCCCTATATTTTAAAAAATTCAGCACTGCCCTTTCACTAAATCTATTAGGTCACGTCCCTGATATACTGCCACAATATAATCTTGATGCAAACTGACCTACTAAGACTTACTTTATGGAGTTTGAGATGATAGATAAACCTGAAGCCTGGAAGTTTTGGCTCAGATTACCTAATTTTGACAATAAGGAAAATATGCATCATTCTTAAAAAGATAAGTCTTTAGGGCAATTTATACATAATTCCTAATTAGTTTCATAAACCCCAGTGGGAGACTCAGAAAACTGAAATTGCAGAGAGGGACAATGGGATACAGCAGCCCTTACCTCCTGGAGGTGGTTTGTTTTTGGAGGTGAGGATCACAAAGCCAAATCCTTCATTTTCTTTTCTTTGCAAGACAATATCATAGGCCTCCTGGGAAGCAGGCCTGGCGGGGACTTCTGCTCGGTTCAGGCGGGGAGATCCATTCTGTGTTGAAATGAAGCCTTGAGAGCTGTCATCCTCAAGTTGTTTCTCTATAATAAACACCAATTTTGATATTTCTGGAACATCATAATTTCTGAAAACTAAAGTGTTTTTGTGCGAAGTCTCTCAAAAGAAAATGTAGTTTCTAATAACATAAAGAACAGAAAAGCAGCACCTCCTACGTGAGGGCCGGACATAATCTCAGTGCAGATGCAGGCAGCAGCAGTCAGTCTGACTTCTTAAATACTCTTCAAGTATATCACTGGAAAAATACACAGTGTTATCTCACTTTAAAGGAAGTTTTTCAAAGCTTCTGTGAAATTTGATAGTAAAAAAATTCTTCTTGAAATTGTTTTAATTCCAGCAAGGTTTTTAACCTTGATCAGTAACTTTAACAAAAGCAGATAATAAGAAATGACACAGTAAACTTCATTTTAAAATCAACTTTAATAATTTAGTGCAGAGACTGACATTTGTGACATCTGAGAGGCCACTGCATCAGGACAGGATGCTGCCTATTATAGGTTGAGGACAGTTTGCCATCCTCACAGGATCTATCCTATACAATGTGTTTTACAACTTCAGTTTCCTGCTTGATGACAGCAGATGAGTTAATCATTAGCTGAAGTCCCTGCCCCAGCATATAACAAGTTGTCCACATGAACAGCAAACTCCCCTAGACATAGATGGGGTCATATGGCATCCCCAGAAAATGGGCAGTTAACCTACACCTTTTTCTCCTATTCAAGGATGACATCAGAACTTGAGAAAAAATGACACAAGTTAGTCCCAATTGGTTTTTTTAAAAAGGCAAATTTTGTCCCATAATTTGATACAAACCATCGTCAACAACCACCACAACACACTGCCATCAAGAAATATGCATATATAGGTCTCTTTTGCCTCAAAATCTACATGATTCTGAAAATATGTTTTAGAATCTCAACCAAGTGCCACCAACATCAAATCATTAATGAAAAATAAAGGATTTCTTTTGGTATAATGCATGGTTAGAATGAATTGGCTAAATGCCTCCAATAATATCAAACTACTTGGAAACTTCTTCATGATGTTTTCCAGGAGACAGCCAATCTCTAAGTTGTATAACATCACATTTTTTACTGTATGTGGTTATGTTTCTGACTCCAGCACGACCAAACCGTGGCATTAAAATCTGTATGAGGGCTGGCCAGTAGAGTAGCGGTTAAGTTCACGTGCTCTGCTTTGGCGGCCTGGGGTTCCTGGGTTCAGATCCCGGGCATGGACCTATGCACCGCTTATCAAGCCATGCTGTGGTGGCGTCCCATATAAAGTAGAGGAAGATGGGCGTGGATGTTAGCCCACGGCCAATCTTCCTCAGCAAAAAAAAAAAAGAGGAGGATTAGCAACAGATGTTAGCTCAGGGCTCATCTTCCTCAAAAAAAAAAAAAAATCTATATGCATCTTTAAATCCCTGATATTTACAAAAAGAGGCAGGCCTTTACTTTGGATGTTGCAATCAAAAACACAGTGCCTCATTTTAAGAGTAATGCAAATATTCATCAAGTCAACATCATTTATTGATGTCCACTCTGTGCCAGGCAGGCACTCTTCTAAGTGCTAGAGATACAGTGGATAAGGAAATGGATAAATACCCCTATCTTCATGAGGCTTATATTCTTGTGCTATAGAGTTGTCTTTTTTAAATTTTAAAGTGGCAAGAATTCACTTCTAAAAATGCCTATTCAATATTCATAAAGCTATTGATGAGAAAAATGTAAGAGAGATTCAAATGCTAGAGCAATCAGGCAAGAGAAAGAAATAAAAGGGATCCAAACCAGAAAGGAAGAAGTGAAACTCTCACTATTTGCAGATGACATGATTTTATATATAGAAAATCCTAAAGAATCCACCAGAAAACTTTTAGAAGTAATAAACAAATATGGTAAAGTTGCAGGATACAAAATCAACATACAAAAATCAGTTGCATTTCTTGCAAATCAAAACAACAC